TTAAAATTGAGCTGCAAAATGATCAATTCACACTCATTTGAAACTGACCCGCAACATGCAATTCATCTTTGCTGCCCTTCATTTAAAAAGTGGTGTCCTTCACACTTATTATAAATAGACTTAAATTAAAAATGACCTGTAATATCTTTGAATTAGTTAGACAAAAATGTGACTCGTTGTAATGAGCATACTGTTCATATCTACCATCAGCCTTAAATGCTGATACAGCACTGTTTCCAAATGTTTGATGTTGGCAGGCTCATTTTGAATTGCAGATGATTATGAGAAGACACTGAGAACATCCTCAGCAGGAAGGACAGACACATCCCTGCTTTGACCTTGAGAGCTGCGGTCTGATGCTCTGTGTGTGTGTGTGTGTGTGTGTGTGTGTGTGTTTGAGCTGAGGTCAGATCCATCAATCATGCCTGCATGTGCTTCTGGGAAAGGCTTCCTCCACCATTTTTATTAGATTTTCCATCTAGATCATTTTTAATAGTACACCTTCATAAAGCACTAATCGCTTTGTTGGCTTCATATCTTGGAACATTCAATCAAATGCTTATTACAGCCTCTATCCTGATAATACGTTTAGTTGTTAGACACGTTTTGGCCAGGTCTTTCTCAGAAAAGAGATTTTAATCTCCTGAGACTAGCCTGGTAAAATAAGGGTATAATAATAATAACAGAGTCCAGCTGCTTTTAGATCAATGCTGTGGAGGTTGTCTGTAAGGTCAGCTCTCAGGGGCCATTTAATGAACTGTATTCTGTGTAATGACCTTCCTTTCTTCTCTTCTTGTGTTGGGGGGCCATTTGAGCGTTTGACAGTATGACACGTTTATGTAGATATTTCAAACTAAACTTTATTTGAAAATATCTTAGTCATCATGTATGTGGGTTTTAAATTCATTGGTTTTTGTGTCCTACCAAGGGGGGAGCTAAAGGCAAAGACATGGAGCTAATATGGAAGCTGCTTGACATTTATGACCCCTTTCCCCCCCACCCCTCTCGCTCTATGGCTCATGCGCAGTGCATGAGGATTTAATGTTTGGCCTAGTTTCTTAATAAAATAGCATTTGGTACTGTGATGATAATAAACTTATAAAATGCATCGCTCTTGAAGGATCACATGAGATCTCACTTCAGAGAAACTGAAACTCATGAGTCGGTGACAAATAAACGGTGCAGTTCGACACTGGCTAAGTTAAGATTTCTTTTATTGCTCCACTCAGACTCCCTTTAAAAACACAGCACAAATGTAGTCACTCATGTCTCAGCGAAGAAACTAAAATCAACCAGATAAAGGTGGTAATACTGAGGGGGGGGGAAAAAAGAGAAACATACATAAAATACAAAACTATACATGTAAATTACAGCCTTTTCAGTTTCACAAAACCAGTATTTATCCACTGAGAAAGCCACGACGTGAAATGCTTGATCAACTCCACTGATGTTATCTATTTGACACAGTGTTTATTAAAGGCCTTGACAACACATAAATGACCAACTGAGAATATCATTTAACTTTCCTATGGGAAATAATTCGTTCAACATATCCAGGCATATTCAGTTTTCAGACCTTTAATCACCTGTTATTACAGTAATTTATAAAAACAAGCATCTGGTACAACACAGGCTGGTGAAAATAACTTCTACATTTCCTTTATTTGGTTGTTTTTTAAAGCAGCACTATGTAACTTTTGGCTCTCTAGCGGTTAATAAACAGAACTGCACACATCCCGCGGAAGAACATTCCAACCGAAGCTACTTCTCTAAGTTTATGTCTATGGCGATTCACGCAGGTATGTGTTACTCCGCAGCGGTGACGACCCGACCAGGCTACAATAGTCCAAATATAAGTACTTATAAGTGTACCGTAGTGATTCGGAATAAGACAAAAACGAGGTTTGGAAGATGAATTCATGATGTACTCGCTCATTATATACATTTGGCCAATTTTGAACACAGAAAGTGTTACATAGTGCTGCTTTAATGCTCAAAAAATGCTTAGAGAAACTATTTACTACTAGAGAAAAAGTACAAGAAATAAGAGGGAGATGCAAGAAACAGTCATGTTATCCATGTTCAAGCCAATTCAGTAATAATGCACTGAACACTTCTATGACGAGCCATGAAACAAACAAGACTATCACTGCACTTTAAAACACATCCATCAAAATATGATGCAGTGCAGTGCTAAAAAGATTCTGGAAAATGTGTATCTGTTTCAGTGTTTCCATCACTAGATAGTAAAAGGAGCCAGCTCCCATCATTTTACAAATATGCTATCAAATAAACCAAACTTGGGAAATGTATAGGCTACACTGAATCTTAATTACTGCCATAAAACTAAGTAAAATGTCTCATATCGCTAGGCTATGGGGCTAGTAAGGATTTACTGGCAAAACACTTAACCAGTGCAGTACTTGTATTCCACGCATCTTCATATCTCCAACAACAAAAAAGGCTTCATTTGGATGTTCTCAAAGCTGACGGGGTTGCATTAATGCATTGTTGTAGTGCATACATTGTGACGTTATCCAAAGAATATGCTTGGTCGCATACAGACAGACTCAACGTAAGTCGTTGACTTGATAAGGAATACAAAAGCTATGCCATTAGCAAACTGAACATTGAGCATCTTTTATTGGTCAAAGGGCACAAAGCCAGTCAGAAGAGGTTAAAAAATGATGAATGTGCATTCTCTGTGCTGTAGCTCTAGATGGCAGAATTATCCTGTACCTTTTGAACATATCAGAGCATGAAAAAGATGAATTCACAATAGTTTATAAGAAGCACAGCCCATAAAAATGATCATTGCTGGGGACGTCAATTAAAGTCGTATCCAGGTCAATACACATTAGAATGAAGGCCAAAACTAACATGGCTATTTCCCAACATTTAAAGCCATTGAAATGCTAAACAATATTACCGAATACATACAAACCTGAAATTACACCCATGGGAAATTTGCTATAATGGTTTTCAAAATCTGAGCAAACAAGCAGATTCATCATTTCATCATTGCTAAAACCTCATTCCTGTTATTCAAGTGGTTTAAAATCAACTCAGAAGCAATGGCAGATCTTTAATAATCCATTTTATAAAAGAACAGAAAAAAATCTTGGATTTAGAATGGTAAAAGGTAAAATTCATAATGAAGGTAAATCTCTTTCACACACAGAATGTATTCCACGCATCTTCATATCTCCAACAACAAAAAAGGCTTCATTTGGATGTTCTCAAAGCCTGCGGGGGTTGCATTAATGCATTGTTGTAGTGCATACATTGTGACGTTATCCAAAGAATATGCTTGGTCGCATACAGACAGACTCAACGTAAGTCGTTGACTTGATAAGGAATACAAAAGCTATGCCATTAGCAAACTGAACATTGAGCATCTTTTATTGGTCAAAGGGCACAAAGCCAGTCAGAAGAGGTTAAAAAATGATGAATGTGCATTCTCTGTGCTGTAGCTCTAGATGGCAGAATTATCCTGTACCTTTTGAACATATCAGAGCATAAAAAAGATGAATTCACAATAGTTTATAAGAAGCACAGCCCATAAAAATGATCATTGCTGGGGACGTCAATTAAAGTCGTATCCAGGTCAATACACATTAGAATGAAGGCCAAAACTAACATGGCTATTTCCCAACATTTAAAGCCATTGAAATGCTAAACAATATTACCGAATACATACAAACCTGAAATTACACCCATGGGAAATTTGCTATAATGGTTTTCAAAATCTGAGCAAACAAGCAGATTCATCATTTCATCATTGCTAAAACCTCATTCCTGTTATTCAAGTGGTTTAAAATCAACTCAGAAGCAATGGCAGATCTTTAATAATCCATTTTGTAAAATAACAGAAAAAAATCTTGGATTTAGAATGGTAAAAGGTAAAATTCATAATGAAGGTAAATCTCTTTCACACACAGAATTCATGACTGATTCATTGCAAAGCTTGTATGGTGCTACACTGAAGTACATTTCCTTCAGGGAGACATTTGAATTCTTTACATTCGCAACATACACTTTAAGGCCTGATTTACTAAAGGGGTCAACAACAAACCTAATGTTCATGGTAACAAAAAGGAAAAGTATTTTGGTTTAAAAAAAAAAAAAAAAACATGTTTCAAGTTCTTACAAATGGGCTCTTTGTATGCATGCTGGTTTCATATGATTTTGAAAAACTTCATACTTTCAAGAAACGTTTCAATTTAATGACTAAAAATGTAATGTGGTGTAACTGCCAGGTAAAAACTAAAAACTTAAATTTTCCTTACAGTTCATAATATACATTTGAATAAACAAATGAACAAAAATGATCAAATTAAAGTTACAAAAATACAAAAAAAGGAAAAATAAGAGTATATCTATCTATCTATCTATCTATCTATCTATATATATATATAGTACGTCACACACATTAGAAGTGCTTATTTCACATTGTAACGTGAGCATCAGTTTACAGTCCAGGATCAAACATAAGGGTCAACAACAAACCTAATGTTCGTGGTAACAAAAAGGAAAAGTCTTTTGGTTTAAAAAAAAAAAACAACATGTTCCAAGTTCTTACAAATGGGCTCTTTGTATGCATGCTGGTTTCATATGATTTTGAAAAACTTCATATTTTCAAGAAACGTTTCAATTTAATGACTAAAAATGTAATGTGGTGTAACTGCCAGGTAAAAACAAAAAACTGAAATGTTCCTTACAGTTAATAATATACATTTGAATAAACAAATGAACAAAAATGATCAAATTAAAGTTACAAAAATAGGAAAAATAAGAGTATATATATATACACACATACATACATACATACACATTTATATAATATATATATATATATATATGTATATGTATATAGGATGCGATTAATCGTTTTGACAGCGCTATATATACATATGTATGTAACTTTTTTTTTTTTAGTTTTTGGGGAGCCAAACCACATGATATAAAAACCTTGCTCATCATAAAAAGATTGTATAACCCTTTTTTTTTTCCCCCAGCATGTTGGTTACAGCACATGTTGTGTTTGTTGGATCACATTACACAACTTTGATTTGGTAGTTCTTCAAAAAGTAATAAGCTGCAAAGTCATTTTGTTGACTCTTGCCCCCTAAGAAACTACTTAAAACTACAGACAAACCACTTAAGGTTTTCTTTTCAAGACAATTGCTTTATTAAGGATTGTCCTCATTTTTTAGGACGGTTCCATCGTAGAAGAGGTATATACTATACAGGTGTTTGAATATATTAATTGCAGTTTATTATTACGGTAAATACATTAATGGACCCGGACCAAAAGAAGAGCCTCATGTCATTGACCCATATGCAGTAATCCTAAAGCAAGACTGCAGTAATACATTGCCCTGCAACAATATTCCATAAAATCTATATGTATACGAAGTGCTTCTGGAATACAACACAAGATCTAAAACCTACATCAAGCACAACACCGGGGCAAACACAGGAGCGGGGATGCAAAGACAGGCGACTGGAGTCCTGATATCCCACCCAAGCTTCTAAAGAGCCAGCAATGGACACAGGGCTATGCTTCAGAATGCATATACAGCATTTTCACCCTTGACCATTTGACTAAAATCATTAGAAATGGCTGAGAAAGCGAGACCAGGAGCAAAGAAATTTCAGGTGTGTCTCTGTCCGTCTTTATTGGTATTAAATTCAGTCAACCTTTGAGTTGTTTACAGTTGCTTTCCTATTTGGAACAGGGCTTTCGAAATGTCAGCAAAGAATCAAGTGTGAGGGAATTGCCATGTGCTAAGTCTCTAAATGCTACGGTCTGTTCAAGCACAAGGTCTTGGACATGGAATACTGTACTGCTTTCGGAGGCTCCGTAAGTCAGGCCGGGGTGCAGCTTTAGTCCACCTGACGTCATTATCAAAAGGCAGAGAATGATGTTAGTGCTGCACAAACAGGACAGTCTTTTGCATTTTTGCAAGCCCATGTGCTTTTCTTATGATGAAAGTGGCCTTTTTAATCAATATCTTGCGTGATACAATCAACCTAATTATATACAAAGGACCGGTTTGATGGGTCCATCTCATTCATTACACCTACACATGAGCAATATCAGGAGAGCAGTTTGATACAGTTTTACGCCATTTTCGAATTCGATAAAAACACGCCACAGTCCATTAAAATGCAGCGCGTGCCTCTTTGTTCCACAAATAACCTTTGCAGTTGCTTTCTCTTTAATCTTTTGTGCCTGAATATATCCAGAAAATAGATTTAAGAAAAAAAGTCAGGCTGTGATAAGTGGCCATCAAGCCTGAAATTGCCTTTGTCCGGCACATTCACAACCGACAGTATGGGGCAGCCGGGCACACTGCGTTCAGAGCGCGTTCTGGCTGTGAAGCATTATTGCCTTTATTCACGTTGCAACAGTCATGCTAGAGACGGCTAATGTAGCCGGGGGAGGAAGAGAGGGACCTTCAAAGAAATCATTACAGTTAGAGGAAAGAGTTAGGAGGAAAGAATGGTAAATGTAAAAGCGTTTACCTGGTATTCTCCCCGCTGCATGGTTAAAAAGAGTTTGTTACTATTTCACTATTGGCAAAAGATGAAGCCACTGAAAGGGATGGAGGGTCAGGGGTGCAGGTGGGTGGAAATCATATCTTAAGATAGCTGCTGGAACGATTTGGCGTGAGATGAGGAATGGACACATTCAGGTTTGTGTACATGCACTGCGCTTGACAGGCCTCTGACTCTGCTCAAGCCTTACCATGCAAGATGAAGAAAAGTCAATGGTGTAACCATGGTAACAGTGATCAAAGATCTCCTTCAAAGCTACAGTTCTTGTACAATGAGGCACGTGTGAATGGGCTCTTAATGTTAGGAGCAAATCAGTAAAGAGCCTGCTGTCAGACGCCCATCAGCGTACAGGTCAGTGTTAAAAGTCCTCTAGAGTGTGGTAAAAGGGATGGTGTGTTTTAGTCAAGCACACAAACACCTGCACCCCAGCTCAAATCCGTTACAGAAATAAAACCCATTGCTGTCATATTCTCCGAAACGCATCCGGTCCCTGCGATCCACAGCTCCCTAATGGTATTGATTAGGTGGAGTTTGAGAGATGATCTGTGAGTAAATCAACTCTACCATTAGCGTACTAGTCCTGCATAGCTTAAGGCCCGTTCACACCAAGGACGATAAAGTTTTAACAATCATTTGAATTCTGTGAGAATAGGGAAATGCACATCAGGGTTGCCAGGTCTGTGAAACAAAACCAGCCAATTGCTATTCAAAACTAGCCTATTCGTGTTTTTTTTTTTCAGTGGTTTTTCCCTCCGTTGAGGGTCCCCTTTGTTGAAATAATGTTGACAACACTGGTCCACACCACCAATATAAAAATAATGACACAGAAGAACGATATCATTGGAATCACTTTCAGAACGTTTTTTTATCCAGCTTTTGAACAATAAAAACATTGACAGCCAATCAGAATCCACCAGAATTTAAAGAGCTTTTAAATTAGCATTTAAAGTGGTAGATGACAAAACTGCAGCACATGCTGTACGTTATCGTCTGTTGACGTGGACAGTAATATAGTTATCATTACAATTACCATTTTTGGTATGAAAAACCTTTTTTTCCAGCCAAGAACAACTAACTTAGTAAGCTGTTATATTTACCTTTGTACAATTGGAGTCAGCATGATTAAGAATTTTGCACGAGGGATGCATGGGGCGAAAAATGTAGCCGGGAGAAATTTCGTATTGAATTCAGTTTTGCTGAATTTTGAACATGGTTTTCACTTTGTTGGCCAATATCCACCTTATTTTTCAATGCGGAAGTAAGCTGTTTTCTGTGAATGTGCAAGACATTTGGTTCATTAGCAGCTGTGGGGAAATAACAAGAAGAATACCAACGTGCAGTAAATGGTAAAACTGTTTGCACTACAAACCAGTGTGATAAATACATTAAAATAATAGGGTAAGACACCAGTTTCCAACATCAAGCAGCAAAACAAGTTGTTTTGTACAGCTAAAAATAGCTGGAAGCCAATGACACCGGAAGCCAAATTTACAAATGGTCGTGCCCGATCTTATGGGAAAAATAAGGTGGATAGAGCTGATTGGTTTGGAAGTGAGAAAGCAGTGGCTTATGCATCACTATATTATTGGCAATGGACCTTCTTTGCCTGTGAAACTTCACCAAAGTTTCACTAATGTGACCACACCTTTTAGATAGGACGAGACCATCTGTTTGACATGTAAAGTGGCCAGCTGCAGTTAAGGATGCTACACAAATGTTGGGCTGTCACTGAGAGTCTGTCAGCATAGCTTCTATGGTGTTTTCCTAGTCGGTCCCCTATTAGTGGCTTTGTTAAAAAACGGCTGCAGAGTAAGAGAGATCACTCTAATTGGCTGTTCACCTAGGCGAACCAGTGCACGAGAAGAAAAACAGTAGTGACGAAAGCAAGCAATCACTAAACTTAAAAAAAGGCTTTGTTTAGGGTTTGTTTAACCGCAGTCCTAGCTATTCTGGTTTCCCTTTTTAAATGCAGAACACAGACTACTGCCATCTGCTGGTATGGAGAGTTATTTCCCTTCACGCAGATGCATAATTATGTGCTAGTTGGCTTTAGTTTTTGCAATGTCCTCAAGCGCAACTTTTCTGGTTTAGAAAGCGACATGAGAAGACACCACAGTCGGGTTTCTTTGATGTCAGTTTAATGTGTCTGGGCCTTTAGGAACTGGTAAATCTGAGACTGTATAACAACAATACACAAACACAGAACACAAAGCCAATAATACATTTTTGCTCGAAGAAATTTAGTTTACCTACTACTAAGTGCCTATTATTTAATTCTAAATTAAGGCGCTTGTTGTGTCTAAAATCCAATATATTTGTAGAGTATATACCAAAGAAGTGTTTTTTATTATACAGATGCATAGTATAAAAATGAAACGTACTACATCTGCCATCTCATCACTGCCCTTTGACCTATATGCTATTTAACCAATGACACTATACAAATTTTGTTAAATTTAGTAATTTAACTACAAAGAACAATTTTCTTGGGATGCATAACATTTGATAAAATCGTTAATGTGTTGCTCTTTGCATACTGTATAGTGGGGAAGTGCACATCAAAAGTTGTGTAAAGTCAGCCAATTAGATTATAGCTTTCCAGCTGTGTGTGTAATATGTATCCGTGAATGAACTGTGGTCGGTCTGAACATGTCGCCTGAGGACGGCACACTGTGCGTACCAACTCTCACATCCTTAAAATGAGACACCCATCTTAAATCACCCATATCCATATACCCATGTGGAGGTAATAAATACATCAAGATATGCATCGCTGTCAGTAGGAGGAATGTGATCGTTCCATAAACAACAGAACAATCCAGAGGGAACGTAAGGACTGTGGGATGGTACGGAGGGGCATGGGGCTGGAGGGAAGCAGGCAGACAGAGCTGGATGAGGAAGAGGTGGAGGTAGTGCTAAACTGGCTGGGGAAGGGGAGGGCAGGGCAGGGCAGGGCTAACCTTGTTTGATCTCCTCTGCTGTGCGGTCAATGAGGACGTAGAGCGACCAGACGACGCATGTGATGGCGATGACGTGAAAAGTGACTGAGCACATGATCTTCCTCCTCTCACTGGCGGTCATCTGAAGCTTCTCCCACTGCAGACACAGATATTACAAAGACATACAGAAATTATTCCCAACACATTTGATCTTTAAATGTTGTTGTAAAAAAAACTTTGATGACTATAATCAATATAATAGTCAACATTCTTCAGAGTGCAGTACAAACAAAATTGGTGACCTGGCCTTTCTGCTTAATAAATATTTCATGCGTCTTAGTGAGAGTGATCTCTGGATCTCTTTTAGCCATTAAGTGCAGGTCTCTCTATTAAGCTATGACCCAAAATCCACATCAAACCACCCTTTTTACCATGAAAACATTATACTGACAAAGAATAGTCAAAAAACCCACATCAGTCAAGCACTAATCCGAATTTCTTGTTTCCCCTTTAGTGTCTATGGGTGTCATTCAAATTTAATTTTAGATGAGATTTGATCTGCACTCTTTCTTCTGGAAGGATGCTGATGTTGTTATTTGTTAACACGAGTAACACCTGCCAACACAAATTCATAACCTATTCAACAGAACACTGTCTCAAATATCATTTTACAGCCAGTGATGATAACACAAACTGAATGAATCCAACCAGCAGAGTATACTGGTTATCAGTCAGTCTGTCACACCGACCGTTTTTGCATCTCAGTTCATCTTGCAGACACCTTGAAATCTCTCTCTCTCTCTCTCTCTCTCTCTCTCTCTCTCTCTCTCGGAGGAAGTCTGCTCAAGCACAATCTCTATGGTGACATAAAGGCTGTCCTAGATATGCCCTATTTTAAACCCCATTTGAGACACACACCATCAGAAATGTAATTAAAAGAGGAAGCAGTGAACAAAGACTAAACACTGAAGTGGCTGGACTTTCATCTTATACACGTCACTCAAAAATAATTCATTATAACACAATTAATAATCAAAACCTCCTGCAGGCTTTATGGACTAACTTGTTTTTAATCATCTCAAAGGACAGGAAATTATTAGTGTTTTTAAAGATTAACTAAGTAAGAGTTAGATGATGGCAAAGGTGATGTAAAAAATAGGAGAAATAAGCACACACAAATATACAAAGCTGGCTGATACGTAAAAAAAATATGCACATATATATCATCATTAAACAATCTCGACCATGCTAGGTATGGCTTGTTTTACTATATGTTTTCTGAATGTAATTCAATCCAGTGTCTGTTTTATAAGGGCATGTTTTAACACTTCACATAAGGCTTTTTATAGTGTGCTTTTTAAAGATGTTCGGTATGAGTAGGTAAACCTCAACATTTTTCCATCTGATTGTGTATACATGTATGTAACGTTACCTTACGGAGTGGTTTGAGCTTGGTCTCCATGATGAAGTTGTACTTGCAGAGCTCGCAGCAGCGTGTGTCTGAGCTCTTGATCCACTGTTGCAGGCAGGCCTGATGGACAAACCGCAAACTCCCAGTGCAGTGACAGGGTGTTATCAGCGGACTCTCATCATCCCCCTCACAGTGACAAATCCTACAGTTTATTTACGGAGAGAGAGGGAGAAACACTCGGTCATCCTCCTAAAACCACTGCAGAGCAACATGAACCACCACACACTTATATCACTGGAATCCTATAATACTGTTAATCTCATAATGCAGCTGTAATCGCAACTGATTCTTAATACTTGCTGTTAGGATTTTCAAGTTTTGAATAAACCATAATCACCAAAAAAATTAACTTTCAAAGTGATTGATTATAAAGCGGACACTATAAACTGGCTAAAACAGAAGCCAGTAGTTAGGATGGAAACACAGTTTCTGTGTTCACCATGTTCAGATCAGTGCCGCAATATACACATAAATCTAACATTTCCCTTTCCTGAAGGATTCATGGAAAGTAATTCCCAACAGAAACTTCAACAGAACCTATAGAGGCATCCAACTGTTAAACTTTAAATCACACAAGCAGGGGAAAACGGAAAAGCTGTTTGTTACTGGAAGGATGGCTGGATTTGTAGAGTGTCCAGGGGGAGATAAGAGATAGAGACGGAGACAGAGACAGAGCAGGATCTAAGCTGAAAGCTCAATTTATTCTCCATGTAATTTCATTGCTAAGAAATAAATGAGATGTTATTTTTTTATTCTCTTCTCTCTCTACCACTCGTGGGCATTTATGCACATGAATTTAATTTCTGACTCAGCCAGTGTTTAATAAGCTTAGAGGTCATCTGGGAAAGCAACACGTACAAACAACTGTGTGACAAATGTCAACATTCATATTAGGAGGATGTCAGAGCCATCGTTCCGCTGAGGCAAGCGTCAGTTCAAAGTGAATCACAGATGAGTTCACATCTCACTGGTGCTCTTTAGAGAACAACACAGGACTAGCAATTTGGGAGAGACATCATTACAAAATAGAGATCAACTCAATTTTCAATGGCCAAAACCATGTATAATATAATATTCAGGAAAAAAATTTAATAAAATAAAATAACATTTGGCTTTGACATCCCTGCAACCCTACACAGGACCAAAAACTACATAAAAATAAATACTATAAGGACCATTTTATCATTTTACAGCAATAAATGAGATGCAGTGAGACACAAACAAAACTGTGGAAATTAAATGAACATATTTTACAGAATATTTACTCTATACACATTTTTCTGTTTTCAGAATAATTTGTGTATTATTCATTGCATGGCTGCTGGTGGATTTGAAACAAACACAATGGGGAGCTCAATTTCCATGCATGCAGATCTCAAAGTGCAATGTCATTGTGATGAGTTTGATTCCCAGGAAACATAATATGATAAAAATGCACAGTTTGAAGTCGCTTTAAATAAAACCATCTGCCAAATGTGGAAAATGTACATTCTTCAGAGGCGAGAGATTTGACTGTGACTTTTCAAACATTTCAAACAACAGTACTTGCCAGAGGAATGTTATGAGGAAAAATTGTAGTTAGACAACCATACATTTAATCTGTGATGTATACACGTGCTGACAGAACAACAGCATACAACAAATGACATTATGGTCGCAGCACACGGTTTAGACGTTGTAATGGATGTACCAATAATATCCTCCACGATACGGGCCCTCTAAATGTTAACTAGCTGCCGGGGCACAAATGAGAGGGAAGATTGCTTCAGTGTCAGCGTCCAGAGGAGGCTTTTCAGACTGAATGACCAGGATAATGACTATTTTCAGACACGCATGATCCAGTCAAGGCTCTACAAGATTAGAGCAAGAAACAGCACAGAGAAAGAGAAAAACGAAGCCTGTCACATCTCCATCATCTTACACCCGTCTGAGCACAGTGTGTAATAACGTCCGTGAGTGCTTTATGGGACATTGCTTTAATGGACTCCTTTTGTTTATGATTGCTCATATTTTTCTTGACTACAAAGGCCAGATTCATTTCCCTCTTTCACTTCCTTTCTATTTTAATCAGAATATATTAAGACAATCACATAAAGCTAGACAGATTACATTAAAATAGAAAGACTCAATCCAATTACCACATTTAAGACATTATATCCAGCCTTTTCACAAGGTTTCACAATTGCTCATTGACCTGCTGTTCTGGAATAGTCAAATGATTTCATTAGACAAGCATTCACTCTTCATAGCACTGTATTAAAGTAAATACACTACTGTAATTCTATGATACTCAATAAATATGATTGTATTTCTTGTGACATGGATTCAAATGTTTAAAACAAGTAAAAAAAAAAGTGCAAAATGTAGTTTAAAAAAAAGAAACATTTTCCATTCTGTTTTCACTAAATTAACATAAGGAAAAATAATATATACTTATTTTAATTTATAAGCACCAATATTTCCAATACATCTTCTATATATATTTTGACTAGCGCATTTTAATACCCTAACCCTTCACTGAACATTTTGGGTACAAACAATGAATTTTTGAATTGACTCGAGACATTAAAGGGGTGGTTCATTGCGATTTCTCTAATTTAACGTTAGTTAGTGTGTAATGTTGCTGTTTGAGCATAAACAATATCTGCAAAGTTACGAAGCTGAAAGTTCAATGCAAACGGAGATTGAAAAGAGTCTTTTAAAATTCTGGCAGTTTAATGCCTACAAAAACGGCTGGTAGGGACTTCAACAAGTTACTTCCCGGGTTTGTGACGACACAAACCCAGATAAACCCTGTCCTTAGGAAAAGGCAACAAAGGGGGCGAGGCCATGCTGAGCTGCTTTAGAGAAGAGGAAGAGAAAACTAGAGGTGCACGTAAAAATCTATTCATATATGAATCGCGATTCTGTCTTCTAACGATTCAAATGGATTCACAAGTTTCAAAATCAATGTTCTAAAGCAGCGGTTCTTGATCCTTTTCCTCGCGTCCCCCTGCTCTGCACACGCTCTGCATCTCTCTCTCTCTCTCTCTCTCTCTCTCTCTCTCTCTCTCTCTCTCATTCAGCTCAGCTCCAACAATGAACTGATACAATTAGGGATGCTCCGATCCGCCTTTTTCTCCCCCGATACCGATACCGATCCGATACCAGTGAAGTTTTTTTCCCTCACTTAAATAAATGTAGAATTTATATATCTCTGTGTGTGGAACTGATAATCATTCTTTCACAATCTACTAGATACAGACTACTACATTATAAAGAAAAATAAAATAAACAAATATGAAAAAATATAGGCCTATGTATATTTATAATCTATGACAAAAATTTATCATAAACTAGGTTAGTGGATAATTCGGCAGCAAAAGTTATTCTAGAAAATTCAGTGCACAATAATTTTAGAAATCCAAACTATTTTGTGGAGAACAAATAAAAGTGTTGCACTAAATATGGTAAAATGTTACACATTGCTATTTGTATTATTATAAAATACATTCATTGAAAACATTCATGAATGTATTTATATATAAGTAACATGTTACACATTGCTATTTGTATTATTATAAAATCCATTCATTAAAAACATTCAGAGACAACAACAAACAAAAAACATAGGCCTACCATTAAAAGCCGTGCTTGCACAGGTTCTGCACGATCCTCTTCAATAATATCATCTGATCAATAATATAATCTCAATCGGGCTCAAACTGATAAGCGATATTAACGATGCCGTTGTTTACAATACAACCAGAACACATGCAGCTGAGGTGAGGGGCGGGACGCTTAGACGCGCACTAGAGGTGGTTGAGCCAATCACAACACACTGGGTTAGCTAACCAATCAGAGCCCATCACCTATTTCTGAGGGAGGGGCTTCATAAAAGAAGAAAATGATCAGCATGTTTCTCAGAGAAGGGACAGAGCGGTGTGGAATGAAGGTAAATTATGTGAAAAACAATGCGTTTTTAAAAAAAACGAAGCATTAACACATGTTAGACTGCACACCATAAACACAATCAAGCCTAGAAAAAACCAGTGAACCACCTCTTTAACAAATAAAACATACCAATTAGCATATTATATTGTATGTTCCTCAGATCATTGTATTGGTTCTTTCAAGCACCTGTTCATAAATGGTTTTCTAAAGAGCTGAAGCATAAAACATTTTCACTGTCGTTTGAGAACGTTCTCTTGAAAATATAACTGCAGATGTGACTGAGCACATAATTATGAGCAGACAGAAACATATGAATAATTCCTATATTATTCCATGAATAGATCCCTCATAAACTAAAATATTCAGATGCAGTTAAAACATTTAAATGCACCAGTACATGTGATGTTCCTCTCACATAAAAATGAATCCTTGCCATGGGTCACACCTCAAGACACCTGAGCATGCTTTGTGGCATATCTCCAAGCCTGGGCATTTCAGCTCTGGTTTAAACCAATAAGTCTTGCTGGCTGATCTCTAAATGTCAGCTATTTTAAGAGCACATGTGTTTTCACAGCACTGCGTAAGAGTGGTAATACATGTGGGAAGAAACCTCCTCTCACCCTTAAGACGTACACAATAAAAAAACTGAAGAAGTCTTGTGAAGCTCAGGTAAAGTGTTAAGCAATGACTTTAGCTTAGAGATAAGCAGATCTTCTCAAAAAGCTTGTTGGATGTAGCCACTTTACAAACAAACATAAGCTGCATCCGAATATGAATCCCTACTATACAGCTGGCTAAAAAAACTGTACATGAAAAGAGTAGTATTCCGAATTCACAGTATTCATACTACAGTAGGCAAAAAGTACCCGGATGGATTACTACTTCCAGCTAAATTCTGAATTGTCAATGCAAAGGATACTTTATTCCCCCATGAGGCCACGGGAGAGGATTTGTGAATGGCAGTAAAGTGACACAACTGACGCTGTTAGGTCACATGACAAAGACAAACGTAGTGCGTCTGGATTACATTTATACTACACATTCACACTATATAGAACAATTTTGTAGCGGTCACAAAATTTGTTCCTCATCCAGTGTAGTACCTAGTCATGGCATGCGATTTTGGACGCAGCCATACTCTTTTTCTATATAAGCCAGAGGGGAGTTCACCTGAAAGCTACTACCCTAAATCTGAGATGCTGGAAAGAATTTGTAACAACCAAATAGTACTTGGAGCTGAAAAGCAGTTTTTCTTCAAGAGTTATTTAGTTTGATGCCGGCAGGCCGCAGCTCTAAGTCAATTACATACCTCATAAGTTACGCTAATTGTTTCCTGACGCATCCGTGTGGCCCTGTAGATGAATATTGATAACGGTTATTTTGCCTGGTCTCAAATCGCAAAGCCAGAGAGCCACAACCAAAACTGTAATCAGATCTCAATCTTCATTCTACCTCATTCAATATGGCTAAACTACATCAATCAAGAAGCTACCATAAACATCGTCTGGATCTCTCCAAGTAAATCTACTTGGACTGTCCATGACAGCATTGCGATGCAATATGCATCACATCCCACACAGAAGGTCAGACACATCCCTCTTCCACACGGTGGATCTTTAACACTCATAAATGCCAAGTTCTGTCATTAAACTCTAGATGGCGCAGGCTGATGGGTTGTTAATGCAAACTGATGATATCCACAGTGTTAAACTACATGGCACAAGCTGACTGGTTCATGTTGCATACGCAGCCAATAAGCATGCTGCTTTACATTTACATGGCTGGTTAGCATCCACTAGTTACTCGGAAACTCTCCATCTTCCCCAGCTCCACCTGTATAGATCTGCTATGGGTTATTATATATGCTACATGTGCAGCAGCAGTATGTCCCTTAAATACTCACAGCACAGTATCTGTATATGTATTGGAAGTAGCAAGTTCCTGTACTTGCTTTGCTTTGCAGCAGGAGCAATAATCTACAACAGCAATAACCAACAGCAGCAGCAGCGTAGCAGATCTATTCCACCAATACATTAACATTTTCATTTTTATCGCCCACCATTACAAGAGGACGAGAAACTATCACAGCACTAGCAGGCCTCTATCAGGAAGGACAAACAGGGACTTGTAGGAAATGAACATCCAGGTGAGGGCTGTAGTGGGACTATGAGGATGAATCACTCTAGAGGTGGAGCCCATAGGTAAGAGGAGCTGGGCAGGAGTGAGTAAGTCCCACCAACCTGCAGCAGTCCCCCGAGAGGGAGTAGGGCGACAATGGCCCATTTTTCTCAGACAGCGGAGAGCAGCATTGATCCAGGTCGCTGTCCTCCTCAAGGGAGCAAAGAGGAGCCCGCAAGCCCTCAGTCTTCAGCTTCCAGCGGGACGAGTTCTCCTCGAACACCTCGTCGTCTCCCATCTCTTCCATACAGCAGGACTCGCTGACGTTCAGCATGGCGCTGGATGACTTGCCGATGTGCAGCCTTGAAGCGTAGCTTCCCATCTCAGATGCCTGCAGGCTTCCTGCGGTGGACGAGCGGGTGAACGGGATGATGAACCGCAGGAAGTTGGAGCTTCTTTGAAGGTCTGAATGGGGAGGAACAGGGGGAGCCAGGCAGTGCTCAGGCCCTGGGTTGGAGATGTATTTATAGTTGTTGAGGAAGGATGGAGGCTGAGAAGCAAACGGAGGAGGAGAGTTGGCTTGACCATTGAGGGCTTTGATGTGGCCGTCTTGCACGAGTTGTTCCTTCTCCGCTCCCAGCTCCCCATCCGAACACGTGCGGTCTATAAAGTGAAGACCGTTGCATAGGCTGTCCATCTTTTGTCCCACGTCATTTAGAGACTTTGAGAACTTGAGACTGCCTCCTTCTGGTTTCAAGTTGACTGATGGTTTGAGTAGGGAGAGCCATTCTGTGCCAAACAAGGTCCTATTTTTGGGTTTGTTGGGGGAGTCCAGGCAGAGCGTGGTCATGGTGACACCCTGAGATGCTGAGCTTTTACCATTAGAGTTCAACAGCACTACAGTGGCCTGTAAAGACTTCTGGTCCCGAGCGAGGTCATTAGAACTGCATACGAGAGGAGAGGGATGGGACAGAAAGAGAGGTGCAGAAACAGAGATGGGAAGAGAGAAAATGGACATAAAGAGACATGCAACATGCATTAGAGAACAAATGGAGACAGGTGGGAGGAACCAAGAGGAAGGTTTAGAAAATAAAATGCCAGAACCAAGCTGGACGGCAGTGTTGGCCCATTGATATTTTGACAGCTCTGCCTCTTTCTGGATCTTTTACTTTCTTTCAGGACACGACCATGATGCAGGAGCACACTGAGGCTTCAGGCCTGACGGAGGGCAAACCTACCTGCATATATCCTGGTTCGAGGGTGTCACTGAAGTCCTGGGAAAGCTGCAAGGTGCATTCACAGATGTCGGACTTCCAGCCTGTATGCAAAACAGAGATCAAAGCAGCAAATTAGAAATTTTAAGTAAAGAAGCATGTCCTGATGGAAATTCCGGTCCTTGCAAGGCATCAAAATATTTTACGTAAATTTTGCTTTTTGTTTTATGGTTCTGCATAAATTAAATGCATCACAGCCACTTTGCCTTTGTCATGACACTCGGCACATATACACTACTGTTCAAAAGTTTTGAGTCAGTAAGACTCAAAGTAAGAGTTTGAGTTGGTGGGACTTTTTTTTTTTTTAAAGGAATTAATACTTTTATTTAGCAAAGACACATTTAGTTGATCAAAGGTGACAGAAATCTTTGTAACATTATAAATGTATTTACTATTTCAAATATATGCTGTATAATGATAAAAGAATCCTAAAAAATGTATCATGGTTTCTACAAAAAATAATGTACTGAAGGATCATGTGACAATTAAGACTGAAGTAATGATGCTGAAAATTCAGCTTTGCATCACAGGAATAAATTACAAATTAAAATATGTTTAAAAAATAAAAGTCATTTAAAATTTTTATTATATTTCACATTATTTCTGTTTTTGCTCTTTTTTTCAAATAAATGCAGTCTTGTTAAGCATGAGAGACTTTAAAAACATTTTTTTTAATCTTACGGACCCCAAATGTTTGAATGGTATACTGTATATGGTGTATGGTTAAATGTATTGTATGCAAGACCAATTATGAAAACAGATGTCAGAAAGAAGACACATCATTGCAATGGAATATTTTAAAGAATATTTTGAAAAGAAAGGGGGGGGGGTTTACATTCAAGACAAATAAAAACTTTTGACAAAAGGAATATCCTTGCCTAAAACCTATTTCTCTCTCTCTCTTACACACACACACACACACACACACACACACTAATATTACCTGGGCATTTGGATCAAAGCAGCATGGATCACATGCGCAATGTTTGATTCCATCATTTATGTCCCAGACTAATTACCTATCGATTCTATCTGTAACAAACAGAGAATTTATAGCCCAGGGCCTGACAGGGATCAATACAGGATAGAGTGTCCGGAACTGCCCTCTACAAAAATACACACACTAACACACAAGCTGACACGCACAGTCACACAAATTCACATCTTTGATGAATAATGTTCCAAGAAATTATTAGGAAATAATAGTGTTTTCAGGCGTGAGAAATGTGGAAGTAACATGCCTGAGTGAGCGCCTTACATTAGCATCTCAATTCAGAATTTCATATGATTCACACTCATTTATACAGAAACTTTTCTGTTTATGTTACTTGGGAATTGAAGATGTGAACATTTTTAAACATTTAATGGCACTTTCCACAAATGGGGTACAAATAGGGCCTGGGAAATTCAGAAAATGTTGACTGTCTATCTCAGGAGATCAAAATAAATATTATTTGAACATTTTTATTTTGAATTCATTATTTACACATTTCTTGCAACCCCATTACCAAATGATGTTACTTCTTAGGTGTTACTTCATAGTCATTTTTTAATACATACTATACACATTTACCTAGTACTTACATCTTATAGAAATTAAAAACAGTACTAGTAAAGTAGTATATAGTAAAAAAAAATTAAAAAAAAGGTAAACAAATAGTGTATATGCAATATGTGCAATAGTGTATATGTGCAAATGTGTGTATGTCTGTGTTGCTTAGTCGAGTTATGACGACAGTGCAAACGTGATTAACTGAGTCACTCCGGCTCCTTGCAGACCCAGTCAGCAAGATAAGGTGTATTTTCAAGCCTGACAGAGTGCATGTTTGTGAAGACTCCCTTCTGAGATGTGATATACACACACAGCCATGTGTGAATCAACAAAAACAACACAAACCCTTGACAAAACAGCATACTGACTACTGAAAATTGGACAGAGATGAGGCACAGACTTGCGCGTGACGACACATGAGCAACAACGCTAGTAATGGGTTATGCAAATTCCAGTGCTGTGGTTATGGAATTTGCCTCGAATACATGTGGTTTTAGTGAAGATGTTGACAGCATGTTTTAATGCCTAGTTCACACTGACAGCAATTTTGTCCCTCGAGGTTGCGAGGTCACTAACAGGCATCCCCGCAAAAAAAAGTAAACAAATAGTGTATATGTGCAAATGTGTGTATGTCTGTGTTGCTTAGTCGAGTTATGACGACAGTGCAAACATGATTAACTGAGTCACTCCGGCTCCTTGCAGACCCAGTCAGCAAGATAAGGTGTATTTTCAAGCCTGACAGAGTGCATGTTTGTGAAGACTCCCTTCTGAGATGTGATATACACACACAGCCATGTGTGAATCAACAAAAACAACACAAACCCTTGACAAAACAGCATACTGACTACTGAAAATTGGACAGAGATGAGGCACAGACTTGCGCGTGACGACACATGAGCAACAACGCTAGTAATGGGTTATGCAAATTCCAGTGCTGTGGTTATGGAATTTGCCTCGAATACATGTGGTTTTAGTGAAGATGTTGACAGCATGTTTTAATGCCTAGTTCACACTGACAGCAATTTTGTCCCTCGAGGTTGCGAGGTCACTAACAGGCATCCCCGCTTCTGGATGCCCTAACATTTAAACCTTTATATTAGATGTTTTGCTAGTATAAACAAGATGACAAGGTCTCTATTTTCTTGCTGCTAAAAAAACAATATGCAGGGAAAATGTATGTATATAAACTTCAGCAATGCAAAATGCATCATATAATGAACAAGATCAATGCATGAATCGCCAAATTCTGATATGGTTTTCCTGCATCATTTTTATGGTATCACATAATCTCCACTCACTTCACTCCCATTGTTAATCACCCCATCTAGTTGTTGCTGATTTGCATAAAGTTGGACTCAACTTTGAGTTTCTAGACATGCCCACACAGTGTCGCCAACTGTTGCTATCACTCATGTCAACGGACGTGCAGAGTTGAATCAGAGCTAAATTGAATGGGCAGCAATTCAAGAAATCTAGCTTCTTTCCCACATAATTTTGAGATTTAAAATGTTTTTCAGTACAGGAGAAACATCAGAAGTGCATGTATGCAGTTTAGAGGAAACATTTTTGGTTAACATGTGGTGCCAACTACACTACACCCAAATTAAACTGATAGTCCCAACCTAAACTCACACCATAGGTTGAACCATTGTTAGTGTGATGGACTGGTTGGGATGCACAAACAGAACAATGTTTTTATAGCACCAGCCATGCACAATATTTATACTTTTCAGAGGATTCAACCTACAAATCGCTTACTATGAATTTGTAAAACTCATTGCACATTAAGCAGAGATAGGAGAAAATACAGTACCGTTCAGAAGTGTGTGTGTGTGTTTTAAAGACATTAATACTTTTATTCAGGAAAGACGCATTATAATGATCAAAAGTGACAGTAAAGACATTTACAATGTTACAAAGATTTATATTTCAAATACTATACATGCTGTTCTTTTGAACTTCTATTCATTAAAGAAAACATTTTCACAAAATATTAAGCAGCACAACCATTTGAAACATTGATAATAATGAAGAAATGTTTCTTTAACAGCAAATCAGCATATTAGAATGATTTCTGAAGGATCGCGTGCCACTGAAGACTGGAGTAATGATGCTGAAAATTCTGCTTTGACATGACATAGGAATAAATTATATTTTAAAATACATTAATAAATTGATTAGTTTAAATGGTAATAATATTTATAATGCATAAAAATAGCACTATAATGCTATTTTTACTATATTTTTGATCAAATTAATGCAGCCTTGCACGGTGAGGATAAGAGATATCTTTAAAAAAAACATAATAATTCCAAACTTTTGAACAGTGGTGTATTTCCGAAAAAAGAAAAATGAATCACCCTTAAGTTTTTTCTGAAAGAACCATCACCTGAGACTCCCAAACCTCAAAGTAAATGTTTGTGACTTCAGTTCTGTTTTCAGAGAACAGACAGGAGAAAGAATGAACATGTGGCATAAACAACAAGAGAAGAAGAGTAGGCCCTTGCCTCCAAATCTACTCAGCAAGCCTTCATAAGCCCTTCCTGTCTTTTTCATTCTCTACAAAGCAACTGTAAAGTCTGTATGTGTGCCGTCCACCTCCAGAGGGCTAAATTGCTCCCAATGACGGGTGTTATTCTGGGAGGCCGTCCTCTCTCCATGGCTCCATTCATCACACACACAGAGTACAGTGACCTAGCATCTTGGGCCAAGATTACACGCTCTAAAACCTTCTCTCAGCCCCAACACAGGCACAAGTGTGCAAAAGGCCAGAAAACTGTGGTTAATATACAAACTAAATGTACATCATGATGAAACCCATACCTTGAATGCACAAAATATGATTTTTGTGATATTTTTGATATTTTATGACTTATCTAGGTCTAGAAGTCACACTTATAAATTAGGAAATCTCACGTATATCCAGGTTTTTCTAGACGGTGAGGACAATGGTTCTTCAATGAAGAAAAAAAAAAGTTAATGAGGGGTGAATTAAAATAAGACAAAAAAACTGTTTTGCTGTTTATTTTATTGTTCCCTTTTGTTTTATTTTAACTCAACACCCAGGAACCTGGTTGAGAACCACTAGTGTAAAATGTAGTGAATTAACTTGAAGTCATTTCTAAAACATGGTACTACTGAGCTTATTGTGAATTAGCAACTTGCTAACATATTATGGAAACTGGCAATAAAGGTCAATTCAGGGTCTGTTAATGTGTTTGAGAAAATAAATGACTACACATTGTAGGTTTTTCTTTAATAGCATAATTGCATAAGCGATAAAACCCCAGTATGACGCAGTCAGTAAGAATGTTTGTTTCATAATGAGGTGGATTTGAATGGCATGTGATCTTTTGGATTGAGTCTAAAAAGCAATCAAAAGGAAATTAGGTAGAAGTTGGGTACAGAAACAGAATGAATAAGCAGCACTAAATTCAAAAGCATTTAAACAAGCAAGGTTTTGTTTCCAGACTGTTCAACCTGAACCAATTT